CTGAATTGGCTCTGGTCTTCCTGTATCACCAGGAGCTCATTCTTTGACGTCCACAGGATCAGGTTCCCATGCTGATAGCCGACGAGATAATTAGACTTGCTCCCCTCAATTCTCACCTCGTGCTCTACCGAGCACGCCTCTTGCGTGGATCGAACTGAGAAGATTCCGCCGCTTCGGTTAGAGTACAGGAATCGGAGCGTTCCCGAGTCGACCTCCGCAATCTGCAAACTCATTATTTCGTGCGTGGTACGAGCGACCTCGAACAGTTGATCGTCCCGAATCTCGTAGAGACTGGTATCCGTCGAACGATATGCGTAAATTCGACCTTTCTCAACGATAAGATTCGGAGAAGTCGACGCGAGGAATTCCGGCACAGCGGGTAGTGCGATGGACCGGTCTAGTGCTCCTGAAGACAAGCAGTACACGTGTATCCGATCATCGCACGGAATCGTGGACACGAACACTTCAGTGTCTCTGATGACGGCGTAACAAGGAGATTTCAAACGAGATTCCAAAGGATCACGGAGTTCGAACTCCGTCGGCCGCGGTTCCCCTCCGTTGAAGTCGAGAACCGTGCTATTGCGTACCAAGGTCGCCATGGGTGCGGAGCCTTGAGCGCTCAGTCAGTCAGTCTCAATGAACTTGCACAGCACGAGTGATGCACAACGCCGTTCCTCTTGTTCATACTTGAGTAGAGCCAGTCCGGCTGGGGAAATGCTTGTCCCGCTGGCTACGATGCTCGTCACAGGGTTTGCTCTCGCTCAACACAGATATTACTCGAGCCGGTGAGTCGAGTGCGATAAATCCGTGACGCTGGGCGCGACATGTTACGTGTGGGGCGGAGCTCTACCCGGAACTGAGTGAATCTGGATTATCCTTGCAGGCGATTCTTGAAGGAAATCGAGTTGTCTAACCAGAAGTTCCTGGTTCCCGTATCGTCGCCGACGGCGATTGCTCGGATTCTCCCTCTTCTTCAGCTGAAGGTCGGCGGCGGCGCTGATCGACGCCTGTGGGGATGACAGTATGGAAATTAAATCAGAGTTTAACACATGCTATAAGTATAATCGAGGCAGATCGGGACTCACATGAATGAAACCGAAAACGACGCGGGGTCATTTTGGAGAAGTCTATCGGGGAGATAGAGGTAGAGCTCGTGAGAAACCGAACTGTTGTCCTCTTCTCCGATTCTATTCGTCCGATGCCGTAGGTCGTCGTCATCGATCCAGCAGATATTAAAAGCTTTGCGGAGCCATCCGAGCGGTGGAGGATACCTCTCGACGAAAGACTCTGTGTTGACGCCTCGGTATGGGCCTGATCGGAGATTCCACCTTGTTCAGTGGATACGTGAGAAATCCTCCTTGACCAATGCACCCGAAGCCCATGCGACAAAGGGGCTTCACATTACTCTAGGCGGTTACGAGAAAAAAATCCAGTCGCCTACCTGATCAACTCTCTACCCGCAAATTCAACCTCAATCATCTTCGAAAGAGATTTTCGGTCCTGGATCCGGGAAGAACGGATCTGTTCCCGCATTCGAGGACTTGCATCAATTATTAATTCCGGATGTCAAGATTTTTCCAATGGTCTTGATCCAGCGCGAATGTAGCTTCGACATTCACCATAAAGTGACGTGGGTACATGCACAATCCACAGGAGAAAACTAACAAGGATTTTCTCTAGGGAACGTCCCACCATAGCTGATACGACGGATATTGCTTTCCGGTGCGTAGGCAACAATAATCAGCATAAAGGTAGGCCAACTCAGCGCTGGCTTCCACACCTGTATAATGAGTTCATGCTATGCATTCTTATCGAGCATGCAAGAATGCTCCCCCGGACTGAGCTTTCCTTTCCAATCGATGTGTCCCGACAAGACGCGTGAATTTGAGCCCGGAAAGAATCGAGAAAAAAACTCCTCGCAAGTGAAGAGGATTCCTCCTACGTAGCGTCCTCCCAAGCGGTTTTGGGAGGAGTCGCGTGGTCAATGAATAAAAAGACCATGCAAGGCGACCTATAGATTGAAATCATCTGGCCACGCGCCCTGAAGGGTTGCATGTCGTCTGGTGTCCCGCATCAGGATTTTTCCTCATCTAAATGGCCGCCCACGATGCATTCGATGTGCGGAAAACATGCATGTCACGGGATAGGAGGAATGAAATTCGGGCCTCCCTTCCGGGAACAACAACTACCTTCGAATATATTCCTCTCTACTCTATGGCACCATCCTCTTTATCGAGTTCATCCAAGAAATCTTTGAAAACGGAATCTGGCGGGACTTCCGACGACGGGGGAGTCCGCGGTGGACTCGCATCGGCCGTGGGGTTTGTATCGACGGTAGGAGTAAAGATCGTCGATGCTGGTGGCCGAGGTATCGGCGACGCTGTTGGATCCGTTGCCGCCGGTGCTTTGTCGAATTTCTCTCTGATCGGTATACTCGCAGCCGTGGGGGTCGAGGGCTTCGGAACGGATTTGCCGTCGAGTTCTGCCTCGATTGACCTCATACGCCGCTCGACGTCCCCGAGCCTCGCAGCGAATTCGATCTCGTGCTGCCTGCGTCTCTCACTCTCTTTTTCCCTCATCATCGGAGACAAGTCCCTGGAGAGCTAAGAGAATGCCAGTTCGAGAATCAGCACAAGGAACGGATTCCGCCCCTACGTTTTTCTCGGGAAAATATTGTTGATCCAGATTTTCATACGGCTGAGAATGAACGATATACTTTCGAATCGAACTCCCTGTCCTTAGCTTGCTTCTCGTGCATTATATCGGAGACGTCAAGGGCTACGTCGATCATTTTCCGCCTCGTGTCTAGTGGCGGTTTCACGAACTTCTGACGACATTCTGGAAACGGGGACAGCGTTTCTTCTTCAGCGATCGAGACACGGATTCTGACCATGTCCTTCCTTTGGCGCCCGGGAGATTGAGATTTTAGGGGCAATTGTGATTTCCTGGTGAATGACGATTTGTCGATTTATTGCGAAACCCCTGCCGAACAACCGAGATGCAAGGAAAATGGACTCTTTGATCCGTCGTCTCTATAAGCTGATCGCAATGATCACTCTGAGCGCAAGGTCTACCTACCTCAATATCGGTACGACACTGTTGGACGGATCTGCAACAGAGAGAGGAGTGATATTTCAAGGAGCTCGTGAACATGAGGATGCTCGAATTTGGGAACTGCGCTCCCCTTCCTCGTATCTCATCACAGCCCCGGAACGAAGAATTCGAGAACCGGGTTTACCCCTCTCGTCCGCAAGACCGATATTATTCGACGTTGCTTGGACAGCCTTGCCCTGGTCTTCGGATGACATTATTCCTTCGTTGTCCTACGAAACGAATGGAATGGAATCATCCCATGTCAGATCCAGTACGGAACTTCAAGCTGTGAGACAGCGGACTCATCACAAAAAATCGGAGAAATAAAACTGGTTCTCTCCGCTTCGCCCTTTCGTACGTCTAGGGAATCTATGTCGACACAAGACAAGAAATACAGGGGCCAGATGATTTACTCATTAAATATTCATAATTTATTCGACTATTTCTTCGTGTTTCATTGATAAGCGGTCGTTTGCTCGACTCTGTCGACTGCATTCAGTATAGTAGATGAAACCTTTATGAAGACAACACCGCTTATGTTGACTTATGGCATTCGCTAGATACCTAAGCGAATATAGATATTTCTTTCATCTTCGAACTCGTGAAAAATTCAATCTATCCGTACTCGAGTTCCTTCTCTTTCATTCTCTCGCATCCGAACTTTTCAGGCAAAACACTAGGAGGGTACACTAGAGATTTAGGAATAGACATTGGTGACGCGAGCGTCGCAGTTCGCATTGGTGAAGTCAAACCTCCCACCACATTTCCTCCCAGCCAACGGGCAGGGGGGGGGGGCGAGGATAATTCTGTATTTCACAGAAGACGAACTATTTCACTTCTTCTTGACGATCAAGCAAGGACAAGTTGAGTAGCAGCGAGCTCGCGCTGCCCTTAGGAGCTGCCTCGATCACGGAATCTGCTTATTGGAAGCATCTTCTCCCCGAAAAATTCTTCTAGAACCGCAGATTTCTGACGAACTGGAACTTCCGAAATAAAAAACATTGAAATAGAGGGCGACTTGCGCGGGATGAAAAACATTCCGGCTCTCGGCCGAGAACTCGATAAGATCTGACTCGAACTGCTCAAGGTTCCCGCGAGCCTTCTCGCATAGATCCTTCAACTGATTTCGAATGTTCATTCGCGCGATTCCTGTCTGAAAAATGAATACAATAAATTCTGATCGGGAATTGGTTCGAAAAATCGGAAATACGTTCCCACAAATAACGAACGTATGGTGGCAATTAGGAGCGGTCGGCGTCCTGAAAGTACATGGCACCAAAGTGAAATGTTGAATTCTTGTCAAGTTCTGCGTCGAGTGACTCAAACCCTTCGTACGCTCGGGGAAAGCCGAGATACGCATGACGAAACACGAGTAGACGAGTTAAGAGATTGTGGGAATCGGCGGACGGGACTCGCTTTGGCACATTGTCTAGCTAAGCAGTTGTAGTGGAAAGAGCATTCAAATTCGAACTTCAAATAAATAAGACAACACACCACCACGGATATAAACTCATACGCGTTCAAACATACAATTGGCTCAGACAGACGACGCCAACGTCGGTGATTAATCTACGTCGAGAGTGGCGGCGTCGACCACGACGTCAACTATTTTTTCATCTGTGCGCGCTCGTCAACAGCGCGCCCAGTTGTTCCTTCGCGTCAAGACTGAACAGTAGCTGCGCCAGAAACGCATCGCAAACGGGGCTGAGATCGCTGCGGCGCTATATAGGACCAAGGGGATCGACGCCGGAGCGGCGACGAAGAGTGCGGGTTACGCCGCGGTTCCCCCCTCGATCAAGGCTTCGATAGTCTTCGAGGTCAGACAACTGAATCATAATACTGCTAAGTACCCTGGAAGTCGCCTATGTACACAATTTGCTGCCCGCTGGTCGATCTCCTTCGATCGATCTATCTGTCGGGTTTTCCGTCCGTCCAACCGACTCGCGGGTCCACAGTTTCGCAGCGAGCGCTTTTCTCCGCAGATTCGCAAGTGATTATACTAATGGCTGTACGCTCGGTTGGAGTAAGTGGATTGCGCCGAGCTCGAATACGGGTGTCCTGAATAGATTGACGAAGCAACCGAAGGCGCCTGTTTGCGGCGACGTCTGTGCAAGATACAGGCGATCAGGAGCATGACGATCAGCATCAATAAGAGCCCTAGGACGGCGATTCCGATAGCGAATTTCCTCGTCGACAAGCAGAAGTCAAACTGTGACGCCGACGAGATCGACGAGGCCGAAGTGGCTGTGGGAATAAATCGGAAATTAGACTGGTGAGAAAATGCCTCTCGAATGGAAGGAAGTGTTGGGAGAAGACTCGGGCTTCCTCGAGCTCCCGATGGATGGCAAGAGCGATTCAACTTATTTTCGCACTATATGGCATTTGGTCTGCCGTATCCGTACCCTCGGGCTCGGCATCGACCGCCTCGTTGACGTAGAGGCCGGAGAATACTTCTATGTTCATGTCCCGGACATCGGCGTCCACCGCGTCGAGATCGCGAACGGTCCCGACATCCCTTCGCTTCCGACTGACTAGCCCAGTGAGCTGAGGGTCACAATTGGGCGGAACGTCATCACAGCCGCCGGAGGCCTTGAGGCACAGTTTCACATTGCACTGATAATACACCGAAGCGGTGTACGGGAATTTATGCGCTTGGAAAGTGACCAGCGCTTTTGTTTTATTTTCGGAGTAGTCGAAAGCGCCCATTATATCTTGGTCTATGGGACATCTGAAAGCGGACAAACATCGTCGTGATCGGATCCGTCCATCAACCGCCGGGACTCGCGCATCGCACGTTTGATTCCGAGTCATTTGGGCATTCGTCATTAGGCGTTTCGTGATGTTCTTCTCGATTTATTTGTCTTACCCTTCATTGTTGATGAGCGGTTGCTCGCCCCAGTTGAGCCCGTCGCGGACCACGCAGTTGGTGACACGCATTCCGTACACGTCTGAAAAAGCGATCTGGAATTACTACGGTTTCTCTGGTGAAATTCGTTTTTTGCTTCATGCTCATGTGGGAATGATTCTGGGCCGGAAATGCGATGATATATCTCTCGCGACTGCATGATTATGCAGATGTTGCGATTATCGGGCTCACTGTGAATCGCCCCATTATCGCGAAGATTGCTTGTATGAGTACTGAATAATTATAACTATATAATCGTGACGAGGGTCACGATTATCCGAAGTAAATCCAGTCTCGACGAAAGCTCACCTTGTAAGTCGATATTGATGACTAGTGTGAGGGGATCACCGATCTTGACGTTTTCAGCCACAACTTCTTGCTCGGAGTTGCCCACATAAATTTTCATGGTGCAGTCCGGCATGGGTGCGGTCGCAACGAGCGGTGTAGTGCCCAGTTGGCTGGAAGAGTAAAGATCTTCATCTCTGCAAAATTTCCAAGTCTTTTTTTCAGTCCCAAGGCCAAGGAGTCGCCATATAAACGTCTACGGAACGTGGAGGCGTATCGAATTCTGATCGTGCGAGTCGTGATCGAAACAAACAGTGCAAACTCCTCGTCTAATGAAAGGCTATCGAAAGCCCCGGCGCCGACCGGACTTCGTCCGCCGCGACTTCATGAGGCATGTCACGTCAAATCTGACGGATTGAGAAATTAATTCCCGAATTTGGGAATTCAACTTCTCTCGATGAGAATGGACGGACGCCACTGCAATTCGTCGCAGAGTCGGACGCTCATGGAGCTGAATAAGAAATCGCTCGCCAGAGAAAGAAAAACGACCCAGCACCTACCTGACATTGAAGTTGTTGGTGACCTGTCGCTCTTTAGTCTGGTACCGACAACGAATATGGAAGCCCTTGCCCAGATTGGTAACAAGCTTCCGGTGAGGCTGTACGACGACAGTGTTGAAGTACTCGACGCCGTCATCCTATGCGACAAGGGAAGAAAGAAGAAACGTTTAAAAACGAGCCAGGTCTGCGCCTTTGAGAAGATGCGGCAGGAAATTCCGATAAACGCCCGTCGTTGGTCGGATTCAACGATGACGAGCGACGCCAGATTGCCTCACTGACTCGTCGCATGAAGCAAGCGGCAAGCAGGCAACCACAGCGGATCATAACTCTGGCCCCGGATTCCGAAACATTTGCTGCTGCCACCGCGTCGTCGCCTCCACTGTCGCCGACGTGACATTGACCGTCGCGCTATGGGGCCGTTTACACATCACGTCTTTTCGAATATGAATCTATTATTGTCATTGCGGATCGAACGAAGTTCACATCCGGCGGATAACACGGCCCCAGCCGCCGCGAGAGTCAGTTCCGTGGAGGATCGAGAACGCTCGGATCGGTTCGTTCCCTGAAGTTCTCCCCGTATCGTCGGCACGTGAACATTTCCAGCTCCAGAGACTCCGGCGAAAGGAAAGGCGGGCGAATTCTGGGCTGGAGCAAGACGAAACCCAGCACGGAAAGCGACAACTCGACACTTATGGTAACAGCACAAAGCGAACAGAAGAGAAAAACGCTCACGAAAAGCCTCCCGCCGAGCCCTCTCTCCGTGTGCATCAAGTGCAAACGTTGACTGAACGTCGCGTCGCCACCGCCAGGTGATTTCATGAGCCAAGGGCTTCGGAGACGAGGTATGAACTCTCTACCGTAAATCACCGAGTCCCTAAATCAGCGACGCTCTCGTGCCGAATCGAAGTTGATGGCTAACGACCCCTAACCTATGTTCAAGCTCTCAGAGATACGCACACCCATTATGCGTCGAAGGTGTCGACCGACATCAAATTACGCAGGAATCGGGTCGTTACCACCGAGATAAGAGAATTGAGGGAGAAAAATGAGAAGAGCCGTCGTGGATGATCACTCCGGCTCGAGTCGTCTTCAGGGTAATTCTAGATGCGATTGGATAGAATAGAAATGGAAGATCAAAAAAATATGTCCAAATGCCCGGAGAGAATCGTACTACATAAATACGATTAATCAAATGGCAAGTGGTCCCATCCTCCGGCGCCGTATCTAGTTTGTCCCACTCCTCTCCGAAGCATCTCTCGACGTGAATCGCCTCCGATACTCGCAGAGGGACTTCAGCTCCTCACTGAGAGAAGATGTTTCGAGTCCGGGCCTTCTCATCGGGCTACTGCTGAGCTGCGAGGAATTGAAGTTCGCGCGGAACATGATCAGGGGGATCGGAGCTCACAGATCCAGGAACTTCGCGTCTTCCACCCACAGATTTTCCCCAAACCACAGTCCATCGATCGAGATTTAGGTCGGGAGCTAGAGCTTGGACTATCACCGAAATGTCAATTCCAACGACGCTATTCAAACAGCCGACTCGATTCGCTCCATAAACAAAACAGCGTTCCGCCTCAACTTCTCAAGAAGAATCCACCGCGTAAAACTTATTTGCGGTGCTTCATCCGCGGAGCGAATCGTCGAACGTTCGAATCGGACAATCCTCTGCAGATCGAATGAGGACTTCTGCTCTTGAGCGTTTCCTATTCTCTCCCATCCCAGGCGGTATTCCTCATTATATGTAGGACTTGTCCAGTCGCTTCAGAGACCTCTGATCATATTCGAAATCGAGGAGCGGTTGTGACTCATATGCAGAAGATTTTCACCCCACGACCCCATTGAACAACGAAAAACTCAGAGTTACCTATTCGAGTACGACAGTCTGCATGAGGGACTTAGAAAATCGGGAAGAGGCACAAGAAGCCCGAAAAAAAACGTGCCCTTGAACCACGGAATGGATACTCACAACGTCGGTGCTCATGGTGTTACAGCTCCTCAAAGGCAACGTGTAGACAATTTTATCGTTCACGTTCGTGTACTCCACCATGCACGAAGAGTTCTTCGAGAGGCCCTGTAATTCGTCGTGTCAATGAATTAGTCCGAGTCGAGAACCGATATGACGGCAACAATAATTAGACAAATTGGCAGGAAAGTCCGGCGTCCCGAGTAGAGAGAAAACATTGAGCGGAGCCAACTTTCTGCAGTTCGTCTGGAACGTTCGTCGTTGCGAAGTTTGAAACTCAGAACACTGTTTACGTGGAACATGTCCGCTCTCACGTGTTATTGAACCTCAGACTGATTGTAAGCATTTTCAGGAGCTCGTTTTCTGAACAGAAGCTCAGAGGGTTTCTGAAGACGCCTTTCTGTTATATCGTCCGCAGCTGCGTTTTAGACTCTACGCCTCATTGCGCAGAGCAATCCACAGGAGCTACGGAAGTGAGACCCCTAATCTGGACGTCGCAGCTCACGTAACGGACCAGCGTTTGGGTTCAGAAAGTTTCGAAGATCTAGCGTGACTGAACGAAGCTCATCCCTGCGCTTTGAATCGCACTGGTTTGGCAGAATGGAGTAATTCTGTTCCCGGGAAAGACTGTCCAGGGAATCCGGAGAACTTACCTTCGGGTATATCATCCCGTTGAAATTGTGGTGCTGACCAAGCGTGATCTGGATGGTGTTCGAGTTGCATTCTATGTCAACTCCAGGAATCGGCCTCGGAGCCGGAGATGTCGAACTCACGATCAAACCTTCAGTCGAAGGCACCTCTGTGACCGTACCCAGCGCCTCCTGACCGAGTACGGCTGGCCATAAGCTCACCTTTAACACCGAATATTCTTTTATTACACGAATGACATAACAACCGAGAAAAATTACGCAAGCACTCGTTCGTACCGAGGGCTCCCTGGAATTTCATTGTTTTGCTGACCCGTCTCGGCGGTCCCGCCGCGGAGTTCGGGTACCCGCAACCGCAGCGGTCGGCCTCATCCAACCAACTAGCCAGCCTGCCCGCCGAGGAGCGACTATGGTCGCGATCAATTGTTTTTTCGAGCCGAACAAAAAAAAGAGGAAAATCGAGAACTCGAGGCCAGAATGAGAATATTTCCGTCGGTCTCGCGTTTGTTGTACGAGAACGAACCACGAGCCACGATTCCGGGCGATCTTCCGACGCGATGGTACAGCACAAAGAGCCCCGGCGTACCGCACGCGTCATAGGAAACAACAGAATTGACCAGTCATGTGATGAACAACAGCGCCGCGTTGACGGGAAGATTATGTTTTGACGTCTGGGAGAGCGCATGGAACGGGGAATCCGCGCGTGTGTATGTGTATTTAGCATTCGTGACCATGTGTCTAATACTTTTGACATCTTGCTCGCGAAGCCCTCTGGGCGGCTGGAGCTTGATAGTCGACATCCTCACGTCATTTTCCGTATGCTCTATCGGGCAATGTTGTTCTCTTTGATTGTCCGTCAAAATCGGCCGAATATACGCGCGACGTTTGTTTGTTTTCTGTTCGCGACCACTTGTTTGCATTCGGAGTGCTGTTTTCATCGAGTGACATGATCGACTCGAGTGGCAATATGCGAAGCTGACGGAGCTGACGTGGGCTGCACCCATCGGTGACGTTTTGGCAACCAGCTTGACGTCGGCTGGACGTCGCGATGAACAAAGCATGAATCTGTTAGCGTGCTCTAAAGAACTCGTCACTTCTCCGGAACTTTTCATGATCGCAGTCGAGAATGACAGATCACGCGATAAGGTTCCCTCGGGAAACGCAGTTGGAGACATTCGTCCCCTGAGATCGATTGATTGATGGATAACTCATCCAAGTGGCGGTACGCAAACAATATCCACGCTTCCGATGATCGATAAGCATATCGATTGATGGATTGAACGATCGAACGCCCGGTTGGCCGCACCACAAACGGATCGGCTGTCGCTTCGCACTGTCCACCGCTCATTGAATTCTGGTCGTCTGAAGACGTTCGTTTGTAGCGGCGATTCTGTCCGACGTGACTGCGACGGGCCGAAAGCGTCAGAATTGAAGAGAAAAATAAACACAAACTTCAGAAAAAAAGCTGCGAAACATTCTTGACAACAATCACGATCACTCGTTGGACGCAACCGACTTCTCATGCAATGTTGCGAGGCAACTTCACAGAAGTACAAAATGTGGAGAACGTGGTAAAATAGAGCGCCAGACAAAGTCTCGACAAACATGGACGACGCACTGGGTATTCATGCTTCGGGCGTGAGGTCTGCGTCAGTGAGCGGTCTGCAAATTCCTCGGAAAGAGAATCAATGCCGTTTTCCGCGACGTGAACTGACGCCATTCGTCGTCGTAATACTGTAAGTGCACAATCAAAACACGTCTCCGAGGACTATTGTCCCCCTCCGAGAACCATTTTTCTCCCCGGGCCTTTCTGGAAAATACTCTCCTCCATCGATCTCCGACGAATGACGTCGACAACGGCCCGAAATTCCCGGCGCGAGGCCCCAGCATTCCGATCGGTGGGCGGATTCCCTCCACAATAACGGGCACGGTGAATACAAGAAGATACTTTCCAGATCCAGGGGAGAAGGAAAAAATTCCGGATCCAATCATCAGTGAAACGTAAGTGAAACGTTGATTCCACATGGATGAATTCGCGATCCCCTCAAAATCACAGTCGACCGACGCTCCACTTACTCTGTGACCGAGAATTGTCTCTCTGTCGGTGCGTCCGGTGCCGGGCAAGTCGACCGACCGGGCGGCCGGCCAGTAGCGGCTCGGACCCTCGGACGAAGAACTAGACCGTTACGTAATTTGGTCTTCGGTGCTGCGGCAACGTTGACGCCGATCCAGACGAGCGATGGACGCTACGCTGGACTGACGCGCTTCGGCTTCTGTCGGTTCTGTTTTTCCGCTCGGAGCCACCAACGCTGCGGCCACCGACGCGACGCCGGCCACCTCCCCCACCCGATTAAGGGAGCGAGCGAGCGAGCGAACGAACGAACGAGCGCACGAATTGAAGAACAACGGGGAAGACAGCGCTCAGCACTGTCACTTTTCAGCAAAGTGAACAGCGCCCTTAACTGGACCGCAATCGCTCCCGCCCTGAATTAGGTCGGGATGGGGCTCGTTTGTTCTGCATGCAGTGCCCGACGAGAACTTGAAGCGCAGCCAAGAGAGGTAATGATCGCTTCAGAACGAGGTAGCTTCCGACGGACAAGCATCTTGACCCTGATTTGATCTGATTGCGTGCGCGGCATATCGGAGACAATTCAACCAGCACCGACTACCCATTAATCTCCCGGACTCTCCGTTCCACTTCGAGCCCTGCAACCCGGTTTCCGAGCCGTGGCTGGAGTGCTTTCTCAGTCAGAAAGTCCTCAGGGGCGTGAGTCCCACGCGCAGGGCTAACAATTTCCCTCGCGTTTTCCCGTCCTCTGGTTCGGGGTCGAGGAGGAAAAATGAGCACCGGGACGAATCGACCACAGAAGAACAGCGGGAAAGCCAGCTGGAATTCGATAATTTCCAAAGTTCATCGAACATATCGGATGTTCCATTAGAAAACCCTTGCAGCGGTCTACGACGGCACCGGTAGCGTCATCAGCAACGGGCCGTAGCTACACATCGTGCCGTCGGTGGTTGTACTCCTCGGCGCGCGATGCATAGAAGACGCTCTTTTTGGGAGACCATTATCGACGGTCCGGATCTTTGGGTCCGGGCACGAGTTCGATCACCTGATCGCTTTCTGTGTCCGAGACTTCGCTTCCTCGCTTGCGTCGCACATCGCTCTACCGACCAAGCAGGCGGCCAGCTCTCGTAATAGTAGTAGCAGAAGAAGCACTGACTCGCATGCTTGCTGCCCTTCGCTCCGTCTCCTCGACGTAGTCAGCAGCCACATTGCCGTAACAAACCGCGTCTGTGACTTCGTGCCCGTTGTCGGAACCACCGAGCGGCAACTACTACCGCGGAAGCGAATGAATAGAAAGAGGAATACTTCTCGACACTTTGAAAGCTCTGACGTCTTCTTCGTATTCAACGTCTTATGTAGTCCGCTACAGATTTCCTCTGACCAATCGTCGCCTCATATCTCTATCGCGCGAATTTCGAGGGATCCGCGCCGCCGCTCGGGCGTCGTCGAGTCGTGACGCCACCAACAATGCCAATCAGAAATACCGAATCGACACCAAACCGCGTGATGAACGGTGTGAAGAGCCTCATCGCGACGTTTCCCCAGATTCGCGCCTCGGCCCGCTCCTATCGAGAGGAAACGACGATAAATTCACCAATACAGCCCTGAGCGGTCGCATTGGAAGTGACCGAGGGCTACTGCACTTAGCATTGTCTGTTTCGCGCTCTCATTCAAGATAAGGGGCTGAACAATGGAGGAGAAAGACCTTCCTTCAACTTTCTGACAAATTCGTCGAGACTGAACGATCAAGTAGGACGTTCAACAAATCAAGATCAAGGCTGTTCTTGCAGAAGTTCCGCTGTTGCGTCTGCCCCCACTGACGCTGGCTCGAGCTCCAACAGCTGACAGCGGGCAGATCCGACTGATCCATGAGAAAAGCTTTTCTGAGCAAACCGAACGGAACGTGCGCAATCCGTCGGGATACCCGACTGACTGACATCGACAGTGACGCATTCCATTCCGAGATGCTGGAAGGAGATATCTTTAATCGCGTCAGAAAAAATAATGAGATCGAGAAGGAAAACGAAAGAAAAAAAATACGCGAAAGAGGAGCCAGTTGAGTTCTAGGTATCTGAGTGAGGATTTTTCCGGGACCATGCCAACCTTGGACTGAACACGGACAGACCCACGGACTGATGGACTGAATAAGTGACTGACCAACAGACCGCTCGCTGGCTGGCTGGCCGGGGCGTTTCATTGTTTCAGTACCGGTACACTTCGAATCAATTATTCAGACCCGGCTAAGACCGGGGCTTTTGAGAAAAGGAAGCGAATTTCAAATAACCGGGAAACCTTGTGGCTTGGCATTTTAATCTAGGTCCTTTGTCCATACCTTCATCGAACATACATGGACTCGCGATTTTCCGCTGCTTATCCATTGTGCCATAGTTTTGCCGTACGCCTTCAATTTGCTTGTCAGCTAAGATCGGACGGCGCCATATCGACTCCAGACGATCGACGATAACCCTCTGTCTTGTTATCTATCGGTTCACGAGGGTTTGGCTGCGTTCCTACGCTTGATCTGTCGAATGCTCCATCCACTGGGACGGAGATCGGATCGGCAACTTGCATGCAAGCAGGAGACGATCCAGGAATCCTGCTGGGATTCTCGTTAAATAATAAATGCCCCGACGGTGATCGAGGTTACGAGTCCCGCGCGTTCGATGCTCGGCGGGCCTGCCAAGGATATGCATCGGAATTTCTCGATTGACGCTTTCGCGCTCAATTCTTACCACGCTCGTGAGCTTTTGGATGGGGGAGACGAATAATAGGGCTTGTATTTTAACCGGCAGATTTTTTTAAATATTTCGGCTGATCTTCTGATATCGATCAGCAGTTATTTAACCGACTTGCCAACTAATTTATAGACTTGGCAGCTTTCCAAGCGGCAGTATAGAATCGGCGGCGATGATTAGAAGAAGGGCAGTTCTCTTTAAGCAGGGGCAGACTTCAACTCGCTTTGTGCTTCTTCTCCAAGGAGGGAGCAGGCAGCTTTATTCGAGTGGCAGTCTTCCTTATTGGATCAGCGGTAATTTTTGCGTTAGGGGAGGGGTTTCGACTTTGAATTCCCCGCCAGAGAGAGCGAATGGGGGAGTTTCGACAACTTCCAGAG